TTATTATATAATGTAAACTCATGTTAGTTAGGGTCCTGCTGTTGCACACAGACACAGATACAGACTTCTGCTCTTTTTTTTACAAACTGGTTGTTTGTCGCCACCTCCTGGACAAACAGTGAACTGCAAATATTTTTACAGGACTTTATTCTGGGTTGATTTTTGTGGTTGATTAAAACCTGATACATCTAATTAACTAATGACAAATAATATTTGCAGTGTTTGTCCAACTTTTGTCATTTTGAAATTGCACTACGGCAATTTGAAAGGATAATGCTTTTCTTTAATTGCAATTAAAAATGTTGTTTTATTTGTTGTTTGTGCATTAACATATTCAGGAGGAACATAAGCTCATATGCTAATACTTCCTATTGTTACATCTGCTCAAAATCAGATCCTTGGGGAGTACTCCTTTTCACTTCTTATCTCTTAATTATGACAGTTATGACAGATTCGAACTCATGGCAGCAAACATTAATAAAGCAGCATGCTGATGTGCTGCAGGCTGTAAGAACTGTTGACCTCTTTGTCTCCGTTTGTCCTCCATGTCTTCAGGGGGAGAGTGGTGAAGAACTGTCCCCCACCTCCTCCGACTGGCACCCAGACCTGTTGGCGGGTCAGAGGACGTCTGTGTGCTCCACGGGCTCAGAGGACACCGGGCCCAGCCTGGTCAGCCGCCAGCTCTCTGCCAGTGAGTGAGAAACTGTTTCACATCAGGAGCTGCCTGAGTTTTCACCTGCTGCAGGTTCTGCTGGACTTTTCTAACAACAGACAGGGTTCATAGATGAACCTGAGCTGAAAACATTTGACAGAGCCACCATCATTTTTAACAAAAATCTGAAGTTTTAGTTAAACACAATGCACCACCTGACCTCTACTATGAGCTTTTTTCCCATGGAAACAGTCTGAGAAACATAAATAATAATAATTTGTTGTAGATTTGTAACGAAGAAACAAGAAGATGATAAATGGTTGAAATTTTATTCATTTTTCATTTAAATAATTGGATATTTTACTTGATTTAAGACTTTAGAGAAATGTGATCTTTGTGTGGTTTTAATAAGTAAAGTTTGTTTATATAGCACCTTTCTTAGATATAAAATCACAAATAGCTTCACATAAAAAACACTATAAAATTAAAACATCACCACAGCATAATATTCATACAAACGTACAAGTAAAAATTAATTAATTAATTAAAACTATGTCAGTCTCATAGTTTTTTTATTATTATTGTTTTAGTTTTATGTACAGCCTTTTTTGTAGTTCCACTAATCAGCTAACATTTAATAGTGGAACAATTTTTTTTTGCTCACTTTAATTAGCAGAACAATTAGCTTTCAGTAAATTAGGTTTGACCAACTTTTACTCCGCTGACAGCTAACAAACATCAACAGGTTTGTGTCAGTCCCGCCAGTCGAAGGACTCAAAGACGTGACGCAAACTGAGAGACTGTCGTCTTAGCAATTAGCAGTTAGCAGCTAGCATTAGCTTCTGCTAATCTATTTATATGTTTAGCATTAGCTTTTTTTTGTTAGCAGCTTATGCATTAGCAAAATTAACTTTTTGGTTAGCTGTTACCACTGCACACAGACAACTTTGTGTCGCTGAAACAAAATTTGTGACGTCTAACTTGTTTCTGAGTCGAACATGTAGAAAATATACATAAAATCATCATTGCTACTGAAAAATATATAAATGTATATAAAACTGGAACAGCTGAAAGTAATTCATCACACCTGTAGAATCAATAAAAGTTTAAATAAACTCGCTCAAGGACTAAAGTGCATTGTGGGAGTTGAAGTTCAAAAGTCAAGCTGAAGAAACAACAAAAAGGGCAAAATACAGCAGGTAAAATAAGTATTGAACACGTCACCATTTTTCTCAGTAAATATAT